TTGTCGTTCAGATGCAGAGCTTGAGGACGGGAGACAGGCAGGCTCTGACTAGCCTCATCATCAACACCACCACATACCACCAAATCCAGCAGAAAGCCATTCTCCAAGCAAGACTAACCAGTGGAACCTTGAAGAGTATTCTCAGGACAATAAAGTGACCATCAAAACCAAACCCGGTCCTTGGTGGTGCTTCAGATTTCTGTACAGAATGGCAGAATAGTCATCACTGGCCCACGGGTCTCCGTTTGGCCCCTCGGGGCCTCCATGTGCACTGGGACAGGGGAGCCTCCGTTTGGAGCCCCAGATACTTCGTGTACACAGGGTCGGGGGCACTGCAGGCCACCACGTGTCCCTTGGGGCTCCGTGCTTATGGGCCGGGGTGGTCCTACGGGACTCTGTGCCACCCACCATGGCCTCCATGCGCATGGGGCTGGGGGGGAACAGTCAGGTTTCCATGCGGCTCCTGAGAGCCTCCATGTGCATTGAGGGGCGGGGAGGGCTCCCTGTGGGCCTCTTTTTGGCTCCATGGAGTCTTCTTGCACATGGGGCCGCAGGACCTTACGGGCTCTTGTGTGGCCTCCCAGGGCCTCCTTGTGCAGGGCACAGGGGGGCCCTACAGCCCTTTATGTGGCCCCCTGGGGCTTCCGTGCACATGGAGTGGGGAGGGTCCTAGAAGACTTTGTGCGGCACCAGTGCCCCCGTTCACATATGGCCAGGGAGGCCCTATGGCCACCGTGCGCATTGGTATGGAGGTGCCTACAGGCTTTTGTGAGGGCCCCCTTGAAGCCTACATGCACATGAGGCCGTACAGGACTGCAGGTCCCCTGGGCCCTCTGTGCACATGGGGATGGGGCAACCCTTTGTGCGGCCCCCCCAGGCTCGTGCATGCAGGGCCATGGGGGCCCAAGGGAGCTCAGTGCGCCCTCTCCCTGGCCTCCATGCCCACGGGACCAGAGGGACCCTATAAGCTTTCATGCAGCTGCCCAGGACCTCCTTGTCCACAGACCAGGGGGCCTTGCGGATGTCCATGTGGCTCTGTGTGTGCAGAGGTCTGGGCAGGCCCTGCAGCCTTTGGTGCAGCCCCTGGGGCCTCCAGGCGCACGGGGCCTTTGTGTGCCCTCCGCAGGGCCTCCCTTGGCATGGGGACGCGGGGCCCTGCGGGCCTCGGCGTGGCTCACCAGGGTCTCTTTGGGCACGGGGCCTGGTGGTCCCAATGGGCCTTTGTGCAGCCCCCATGTTCTCTGTGCGCACAGGACCCTACTGGCCTCTGTGCGGGTCCCCTGTGGCCTCCATGCGAGCCCAGGATGGGGCCTGTCGGCCTCGGGGCGGCTCCACAGGGTGTCCGTGTGAACGGGTACAAGTGGGTCCTACAGGACTTCATACCGCACCCCACCACCCCAGGACTCTGTGCGTATGGGGCCAGAGAGGGCCGAGCGGCTTTCATGGGATCCCCCACCGCGAGGGTTGCCATGTGCATGGGGCTTGGTGGGCCCCATGGGCCTTTTTGTGGCCCCCTCCGGGGCCTCCATACACATGGTGCCAGCAGGGGCCCTACAGGCCTTTGTGCAGCCCCCAGGACCTCCACATGCACCGGTCCAGTGGAGCCCACAGGCCTCGATGGGAATACTCGGGCCTCCATGTGCATTGGTCCGGGGGGCCCTACGGGCCTTCGTGCAGCCCCCAGGACCTCTGCGCACAGGTCTGGGGGGGCTCTGCAGGTTTCAGTACAGCCCCCTGGGGTCCCCATGCACATGGGACCTGTGGAGCCCTATGGGCCTTCATGTGGCCTTCAGGGGACACCGTGCACATGAGTGCGATTGGGCCTTACAGGCCTTTATGAGGGCCCCCAAGGCCTCTGTGTGCATGGGGCTGGGGAGGACTCTACGGGCCTCCAGGCAGCCCCCGGAGCCTCCATGCACATGGCGCTGTGGGGCCCCTAGGCTGTGAAAGACTGAGGCAAAGAAGGCATTAAGGACCTTAGCCTTATCCTCATCCTTGGTGACAATGTTCCCCATCGCATCCAATAAAGCTTGATGATTCTCCTTGGCCCTTCTTTTCTTGTTAATGCATTTGTAGAAAGAGTTCTTGTTGTCTTTTACAGCAATGGCCAGATTGGGTTCCAGATGAGCTTTCACCTTTCTAATTTCCTCTCTACATAGCCTAGCAGCAACCTTGGACTCTGGTACCCGAGGTGCTTACACTGACTTCTCATATTGGAAGTGATTAATCACCGCTGGGGTTACGGCTTGCCTTGTGTACAGCGCCTCCTCCTCCCTCGCCTGCTCTCATTCCTGAGAGCGCAGAGAGGAGGAGAAAACAGCAGGAAGTTATTTTGACCTGGCCATCTCCTCACGCGACCTCCCGTCCTGGATTTGTCCGGGATCGTGTCCAGGGGAGAGGAGCTGGAGTCACAGCCCACATCTGCCGGGAGTTGAGTCCTGCAGGAGATGCCCGCAGAGCACCTCGCTTCTGCACAGAGAGCCCTCATCCTCACAAATCCCATCTGCCAGCAGCGCCAGCATGCTCCTACTCCACCAGCCTTCCCACTTCTGCTCAGCGTCAGAGGTGTGCATAGCCCAGGGCCTGGCTGGCGTTGGAGCAGGTCCTAGCCTGGTCCTTGGCTTTTTGATTCCTCCTTACAGCACGAGCTGTAGCAAAGCTTTTTGTTGTGAATGCTGGCTGGTTTGCCTTGCCAGGATCAGAAATGCTGCTCTCTGAGAAAAGATTCTTGGCAAGCCTGGAGGCCGTAAACGTTGAAGAGATGGAGCAATCGCTTGGCCGCGTGGGCGCTGCTGGCTCTGCCCTCCAGCAGTGCTGGAAGTCCCCTCGTCTCTCTTGATCTGTAACTCTGCAGCCCTGAGCCAAGTTATCCAGCCTGGAGACAGCAGTTTTTAACATAAGAATTTTATTACTCTGCACTTAAAAATAAAATACAGAAAATACCTATCACACTCATATACATTCACCACACAAATGTTTCAGAGCTCATGACATTCACTGCTCTCTGGAGCAGATTAAAGCTTAAATCCCACAAGTCGATAGTATTTACAAGCTCCATGTTTCTGAGCCTGTTGCCTACGAGCAGCCAACAGCTACATTCACCGTGCGCTTTTCCAAATGTCCCACGTGCAGCACCAGGCTGGGGAAGCGTCTCCGCACGCGGCCGCCAGCGTGGCCGCAGTAGCTGCAAGATCATGGGAAAGCGACCCAAGATGTGTGTCCTTTTGCGGGACTCGAAGCCATTGGGTCTGCAGTGCTGCAACCTCATCGCTGCAGCACAGCGGAGCGACACAAAAACATCACTTTTGGTTTGAGGGAAGAAAACCTCAGGAAAACCACAGTGCGTTGTGTTTGCTACTCTATTTGGAGAGACCACAGTTTTACCTGTCCTCAGAAGCAGATGTTGCCTGCATCGGCATCACGACTAAACTTGACTACAAAAATAACATTTCTTGTATTTGATATAAAAATAATGCTATAGCAGCGTTCCCCAAACTTGCAAGGCCACAAATCCCCCACGTGGCAGAGTAAGCAGGGACCAAGTTGCAGCCCATCGTTTCCATGCTGAGAGCTGGAAGGATTCCCTGAAGGTGGCATCTTGCTGGACCTAAACCTTTCTTTAGCTGTACTTTACAGCTGGTTTTTTGCTTTGAGCATCTTGTTTATTTTATATATATATATATATATGTATGTGTGTGTATTGATGTATATAAAGCTATACATATATATATACACATATACACACACACATATATATATCGCTTTCTTGTTCTACATGAATATTTACACTTTGGGATGTGATCCACTCAAGTCAATCACTGCAGGACCAGGCCCCCTCTTTAGGTGCTGAGGCAAAATTCATAGTGTGCTAAGCAGGACTAAATGCTAAATAGGGGACTTCAGGCACAGGTCCCAGATAAGGGACAGGGCTTATAGCTGCGCCTACATATGTGGAAATTAGAAGCAACCTAGGTTTAAAAATAGCTCTGTTACTGTTACAATGTGTTAATAGCCCCATGATCAATGCCATGTAAAAAAGCTAAAATGAGACCAAAGTGTAGAAGCACGAACAGACCTTCTATGGCTTCTTCTGCATCAGCAAAAGTGCTTATTTCCAGAGACAGAACATGGCACTGGAAGAAAGATAAGTGTGCTTTAGTGGAATAATTCCTGCACTGCTAAATCCAGACCTGCATTGAGCTACTCCAGAAATGTATTCCCTGACTTTTGTGCTTGCTAAACAGCAAAAGAGCAAAAAAACTTCCCCCGGCAATAGCAAAGTTATTGGGGCTCCTCTGATTTCTCTGGTTTGCGGCAGTTCTGCTTCCACATGGTGTTATTCAGTTCACCCTCATTATCCTGCCCTGGTGCTGGACAGAGCTGGCCAGGGGCTGCATCTGCTGGGAGAAGACATTTATGGCAGGTGTCTGGATCTGCCAAAATCAGGTCTCAGACTACGTCTATAAACGTAGCTGCTCCCAACCATTTTAGGGACCAGCAGTCTAGTTTTGGGCAGGAGATAAACTGTGCATTGTCAGCATTTCGGAGACTAAAACTTTGCTTTGATCAGCTAGCTTTGACCTTTAGTTCCCTTCCTATGCAGGCAAATAGATTCAGTTTTAATCTCCTTCGCCTGAAAAGCTGGGCTCCAGCAAGAGTTAGTGGGGTGCTGAGTCAGGCCTGGAGAGCCAGCACCCCCGTGGCAGAGCTCCCCGGGCCTGGCGCGACGCAGAAGCGCCCGGGCTGTGGCGCGGAGGTGTCTAATGCACCCGGGCAGCTCTAGGAGAGCAGTGTCCTCCGTGCACAGCTAGTACCAGAGAGCAAACAGCTTATCATTTATCCCCCACATACCAACTTTACTCCTCAAACACCCCAAGCGGTTAATGACAACTTAGAGGGGTTTTTTTAGGCGCTCTGCTCTGGGAAAAAAAAAAAAAAAAATATATATATATATATATATATATATACACACACACACACACACACACACACACACACACACATTTGGTATTTGTATTCCTGTATTCCCTGCTTTGCACTTAGCTTTCCTGCAGTGACGTGAAGGATCTGTACAAAACCCATCCATGCCATGGAGCCATCAGATCACTTCCTCTGGACAGACATTGACTGCAGATCTCTCCTGCTGGTAGAGCAAGCCCTGTACCATTTCCATGGGCATTGCTGCTTTCTTGAGTCCACATTTTTTCCATAGCTGTACAGCAGCAGCAGCAGCAGCAGCACTGCAAGCAATCACACCACCTGCCACAGAAGCTACTATGATGACAAAGCGCGCTTGGGATCTCGACAAGAAGCTAGGAAAAGGGGGAGCATTTGTTTTTTCTGTAGTTAACCATGCTCTGGCTTGGCCCGAGAAGGTTTGACTGGTAAAAGTTGGTGCATCTGGAAGATCCGGCTTTCCTGAAGAGTGTCCAGGTGTTCTAATATCAAAAACATCTGTCCAGGAATGGAAAACCTTGTTGGCAGGATCAGAAAGACCCTCATTTGTGACAGCTGTGGAGTTTAGTGTAGAAACTGAAGTAGCTTCTGGAAAAGGGGTTATCGGGGTATTCCTTAGGATGGAGGGAAGATCTGAATGAAAACTCCTGGAAGTCGCATCTGACGTGTCAGCTGTTGTACTTGTAGGGCCTCGGGATCCATCCGTGGAACCTACAGAATAGTCTGGGGCTTTGGTAATGGACACAGGGTCTGAGTTCAAAATAGGAGAAGTCATGTCTGGAACCTGAGCATTTGTGGTGTATCCTCTGTGTTCTTCTATAGATCCTACAGAGTTCCCAAAGCCCTGCACAGGAGCCAGGGATTGGCTGGGGCCTGTGCCTGTTGCAAAGGTTGTTGGAGGTGCAGTAGCTTTGGTGGAATCACCGTTTGCTTCTGAACCCATTTCAGAGCGGGCAGCAATGTCCCACATCACAGGAGAGGATGCTGTAGGGACCTGCGTGGGGAGCGTGGCTTGTGTGGGTTTGCTGGACACCCCTGTCTCAAGAGCAGGAGCATTTGTACCATCCAGAACTGGCCTGCCCGCCCCTTGAGAAGCACTGCTTGGAGCGGTGGCTTGAGATGGAGCTGTTACTCCAAGACCAACCTGCTTGTGAAAAATTCCAGGATCTTCTGGCACTGCTGCTGAAGTTGCAGCATGTGGAAGTGAGGATGCCACAGAGGCTTTTTTCCGGTCCAGTATCTGCATGACCTTCTTTACCCAGTCCTCTCCTGGATTCGCACACATCTCCACATTCTTCTGAGTCATAAATCTGAAGTGAAAATAAAAAATAGGAATACTTAATAGATGCAGAAAACACTGCCTTAATCTATGGCTGTGGCACAGAAAGCACCCAGAGATGCTGGTAAACATGGATACCCTCAAACTTCTACCACAGTTAAACTATTTCAGAATATTTCAGAATATTTCAGAATATTTCAGAATATTTAAGGTTGGAAGGGACCTCTACAGATCATCTAGTCCAACCTTCCTGCTCAAGCAGGCACACCTAGAGCATGTGGCACAGGGCGGCATCCAGGCGGGTTTTGAAGACCTCCAGAGAAGGAGACTCCACAACCTCCCTGGGCAGCCTGTTCCACTGCTCTGTCACCCTAACAGTAAAGAAGTTCCTCCTCACCTGGAGACGGAACTTCTTGTGTTTCAGCTTGTGGCCATTACCCCTTGTCCTATCGCTGGCCACCAGTGAGAACAGCCTGTCCCCTTCCTCCCTGCATTCTCCCTTCCTGAACTTATACATATTAATCATATCCCCTCTGAGCCGTCTCTTCTCCAGAGAAAACAGGCCCAGCTCGCTCAGCCTCTCTTCATACGAGAGATGTTCCATTCCCTTAATCATCCTGGTTGCCCTTCTCTGGACCCTCTCCAGAAGCTCCACGTCTCTCCTATACTGGGGTGCCCAGAACTGAACACAGTACTCCAGGTAAATGTGGTTGGATGGGTTATTCATCGGCAAGGCAAATGCCTTAATTAAATATCTAAGTTAGTCATCAGAAGTTGAACATGAAAGGCTTCCTCTGCACAGACTTTCTCTTTCAAAACCATTCATCCAGTGCTCAGATGTGTTTGTTTTCCTCACTACAAAACAAGAAGCTTGGCAGGCACTGGGCTATGAACACAGGAACACAAAACTCGCGTTTTACTGAGAGAGAGGGAGGTATTTTCTGAGCAGGCTCACTTTGGAGCAACCGCCTGGGCTGAAATAAAGTGGTCTTGGTGGTGCCTCACTCTCAGGGTAAGTGAAAAGAGACAATTATCCTGGGGAAAAAAAAAAAATAGTGATTTTTCTTTGTTTTTATCCAGGAAAGCAACTGTTTCTGAATCTTTTTCCACCAGAAATGCTTATTTTCCTAGCAATGTGTGAACTCTTACTCTGTGTGCTTGCACTCCCCCATTCCACCAATATGTTCTTTCATCAGTTCTTGTGTATTTATCTCTCCTGACAGCGACAGTCTCCCTGTGTGTGTGGACAGAAACCAGTGCAGTTTGGGCGCGGATCTCACTTGGAGGCTATAAGTTTTTAAATAGGGAAAGAAAGAAAATAAAACGCCGCCCAAATAAATATCAGCATTTACTCTGTTTCCAGAATGCTCCTTGCTTCGGGGAAAAAAAAAAAAAAGAGTCTAGGTGTTCTAATATCAAAAATATTTGCCGTCGGATGGCACTCACATGATGGCCTGCTTGAAGCACTGCGGTTCAGTCCGGCGGTAGCTCTTTATCCGCCTCTCGGGAATCCGGGATGTAAAGCGACCGCACTCCTTTGAACACTTCGGAGATGCTTTAGGTTGCCCTGGAATAAAAATTTCAGCATATTAAGCACTGGCCTGTCATTAGACACAATAAAAAGCAACAGGGGTTTGGGTTTTTTGTTTGTTTGTTTGTTTTCCTCTCCTCAGTTCTCTGTATAGGAGTCCAAAGCTTGCCATGGAAGTTTGCAATCTCTGCCAAAGGGAGCAGGGAAATAAACGGACACAAATTCCGTAAAGGCTACGATTATTGGAATCATCCAAATAAGCCAGATGATTTAAAAATACGAGGTGAAAACTGCTGGGGTCTTGACACACAGTTTGCCTTATAAAGGATATGCAGGAACTGCTGGGCAACTTTGGAGCAGTAGTTGCCCAAGAAATACCATTTCTCCCCCACGTCCTCTCTGGTAGCCCTCCACACAGCTTAGCTGTGAGGCAGGATGACTAGTCTTAGCACAGCTCCCAGAAGACCAATTTCTGCATCCTCCAAAGACCTGCTACACCCGTCAGCAACCCGGTCTGTTGGGGCAAGCAGAGCACATCAGAGGGTAGCTCTGTTTCTTCACGAGCTCCATTTCTTCCCCTTGGTTGGTCTTCTTCCTCAAGCAGACATCCTAACTCTGTTGGCACTGGTTGTTAAACAGTTACTCGAACACTTGGGCTTGGAGAAAGGCACCACGGAAGGATCTTTAGGTGAAGGGCATGTCACTTTCATAGCTTTTATGAAAGCAGGGACATCTCAAGAGCACAACTTCAAAGCCGTGGCCCAATTTCGCACCAGCCTTGCATTTCCACCCCACTAGCAAACCTGGTTTGCACCTTGCAGAGTGTAAAAATAAAATCCCACTTGATTCAACGGAAGCAAACAGCCAGTCCCACCTTGGGAAGGGTTCATGGCAGCCCCGTAACGTTTCTGCCTCACAGCACTAGCGAGTAGTTACGCAACACAGCCCGGCAATTTATTTTCTGTGGCCCTGGGGGACAAAACTTAGAAAAACAAGTCCTGACTTCTCCAAGGTCCCCTGCGAAGAAAAGAGCTGGAGGTTGGTTTAAATCGTGTTGCCTCTGCTAAACACCATCTCCCATTCCCAGGTGAATTTGTGGACATTTGGTTGGGAACAATCCAGTAACTGGGTGCAAGGATGAGCGTCGTTCCAGTAGAAGAGCTTGGGGGTCCGGTCAGTGTCTTTGGATCCATTTACTGAGGAAACCCCTGGCTGCACAGAAGTCCCCGTCAAACCCTCCTGCAGGAGGACGTTTCAGTCTCTACATCTCCCAAACCCAACTCCAGAGTGGAGGAGCTTGGAAAACATCTTCCAAGTAGAGGGCAGAGCTGCAGAGCCACAGCTACGAGAAAGTCCCCAGAGTTTGTGGAGCACAGAGGGTCCCAGGGACAGTCCTGGTGTCCTCTGTCCTCCCAGGACACACAGCCCCACATCTCCAAGCTCTATCCACACTTTTACCGAAGGGCTCCATCCTGAGGAAAGCCAGGGACGCACAGGTACCGTGAAGGAGGTGTGAAGAGAGGAGGAACCTGCATCCCCAGCTGTCCTTTGTGCTGTTCCCGTTCCTCTCATCTGGTGGCAGCAGGGAACAGGGCAGATCTTAAGGGCTCTCTGCCCCTTTCCCTTCCCACACCATCCCCTCTTTGGAGGCAAAGTCCAGTTTTGCCTGTGTTCCTGAGGAGTCAGCTGCTCTCTTGGCTCTCAGCCCTGCTTAATGGGTGCTCTCGTGGAGCAATCACTGATCTAGATGCCTTAAACCGAGCTCAGCGCGGCAGAAACGCATCGCCCTGCTGTGGTCCAGGCTGCCCCGCAGGGAGACGGGGCGAGTGTCCCCTCCTGGACGTGCGCGCGCGGCAGCGGGAGCAGGAGCCGGAGCGCGTCCGCGGGGACCACAGCTGCGGCAGCACCCCCACCTCGGGGCCCCGGCACCCCGAGGTGCTGCCGCCCGTGCGGACGGACACCCAGCAGCGCCCGGCCCACCTTGCCTTGGCCTAGCGGGGGGACTTGACGTTTCTCTGCTAGTATCGACCCTTAGAAAGTCTCTGCAACGACCCTCTCTGCAACAGCCCTCCCGCCTAGCCTGGGCACAAACAGTTAACAAGGGGCTGCACAGCCTGCTTTGCTGCGCTGTCGTAGCCTCCCTCTTCCACTTCCTAGACCTATTCCCGGAGAACGGGTCGCCGCGGGCAGCGAAGGGACGCGGCTCCTTACGCCTTGCCCGTCGCGGCAGGCGGCTTCCCCGCCGCGGGGCTTCGCCAAGGCAGTTACCTTCCGTCAGGATCCCCAGGCACAGGAGCTGCAGCCCAAACAGGACCAGCAGAGAAGCCACCTTCATGTTCCTCAGGGCTGCGGGAAGGAAGGCTGCCCACGGACGGTTAACAGGCTCCCGACTAATTAACTGACTTTCCCCGTTAATTTTCGCTCCCGGTTGCCTCCGCAGCACTCCAGCTGCTGCGGCTCATCCCAAGGCTCTATAATCCCGGTCCCAAGTGTGACTTAGCTCCCCCGCACGCTTCTCACAGTGACGACAGGAGGCGGAAGGAAAGCGGGGACGGGCAGGGAAACGTTCTTGTATTCGGGAGCTAGGCAAGTCCTGGAATTCCCCAGCAAAAGTACTCGCGCTTTTTATAGCGCCCGACTCATTGAAAGCCTGGAAGGAAATTTTAGGAATCAGCTGCCCCGTCCTCCTAGGGTGTCTCTCACCCAAACAGCCTGTGCTAAGGCTTTCCTTAGGCTCAAAAGGTTTTCCCCCTAACGCCAACCTGCAATTCCCTGATACCTCCTCTGATTTAACCCCAATTTACACAAAAGCAGCTGCTTTTGGAAGCCCTCTAAGAACAAAAGCACCAGGTACCATTGGCTCATCAGCATCACGAGCTGGAACTAAGCTGAGAGATTCAGTGCTCTTCCTGAGCCACAACTGCAGGAATAAGCTTGTAGGGATAACGGGATGCGAGGAGCTCTCCAGGGACACCTCTGAACCCCGTGCCAGCTCGGTCACCCTCCCATGGATGCAGCTACTAGCTCGTCTTAGGTTTGACTTCAGCCAGCTTCTTGTTTCTCAGGCATTTGCTCCTTCTTGCTGGTGCTAAGAACGTGATAACAGGTCCCAGGTGCTGGAATCAACAGGATTTGTTTAGGGAAAGCCCAGTATTTGCAGCAAGCCAGATATGGACCTATGAAATCACATCCTGCACCTTTTCTCTTGCATATCCCAGGTCCTGGCTGAAATTCCCATGTCATCTCCTGCCACTGAAAGACGCAGATAAGATCAAGTTTGAGACAATGTTGAAATCGTTGTGTTTTTTTTTTTTTTTTTTTTATTCGTGGAGATTTCTTAGGTGAGAAAATATTTCCTGTTTTCTCTGGTGGAAATTGGGCTTCTCTGAGTCACGGGAATTTTCAACAATTCTAGTTATGGATTTCTGTATCTTTGTTTTATTTTATTTTATTTCTTACTTTTCCCAAACAGAGGAAAACCCTCACAATTCCAACGAGATCAATTTTCTAAAGACAATACTCCTGGCTACTGCCGTCAGCCTTTGCTTATATAATTCTAAATGGCAAAGGCCCCTTTTCAAAGATATTTAAAACGTCTTTAAAATGTTTGAACATCTTGCACTAGTCTGCTCAATCCAGTCAGAATAGGAAACGCTGTACCCATGCAGGCACTTAGCCACCCCGTTTCACTAAAGGGCTTTTCTTTAGGCTCAGCATAGCTTTGCAGGAAGTGTTTATTCCAGCAACTGGAATTGCCTGAGGCTTCTCACCCTGCTTGTCTCAACAGCATAAAGCGATGCTCATATTTCACCTATTAAAAAAAGAAAAAAAAAAACAGGTTATGCACCTTCTGCAAACAGATAAGACTGAAGAGATGAATGCCTCAGGCAAGGCCATGAGGTGGTACGGGGAGTGTTATTACGAGAAGCGGGGCTGGGCTGGTTGGCAGGCGCCCGGCGCTCGGGCAGGCTCCGGCAGCTCCTGCCCCGCGCTTGGAGCGCTGCTGCTGCCGCTGCCGGACAGGCTGGAGAGTTGGGCAGAGAGGAACCTCCTGAGGTTCAACAAGGACGAGTGCAGGGTGCTGCACCTGGGCAGGAATAACCCTGGACACCAGCACAGATTAGGAGTCGACCTGCTGGAGAGCAGCTCCACGGAGAGGGACCTGGGAGTCCTGGTTGACACCAAGTTAACCATGAGGCAGCAGTGCCCTCGTGGCCAAGGAGGCCAATGGGCTCCTGGCTGCATCAGGAGGACGTTGCCAGCAGGTCAAGGGAGGGGATCCTGCCCCTCTGCTCAGCTCTGGGGAGGCCAAACCTGGAGCACTGTGTGCAGTTCTGGGCTCCCCAGTATAAGAGGAACATGGAGCTTCTCGAGAGGGTCCAGTGGAGAGCGATAAAGATGATTAAGGGACTGGAACATCTCTTGTATGAGGAGAGACTGAGTGAGTTGGGCCTGTTTAGCTTGAAGAAGAGAAGGCTGAGAGGGGATCTGATTAACATGTATAAATATATGAAGGAGGATTGTAGAGAGGAAGAGGCCAAGCTCTTCTCATTGGTGGCCAGTGACAGGACCATGGGTAATGGGTGCAAGCTGCAACACAGGCAGTTCCATCTCCACGTGAGGAGGAACTTCTTTATTGTGAGGGTGACAGAGCCCTGGAACAGGCTGCCCAGGGAGGTTGTGGAGCCTCCTTCTCTGGGGGTCTTCAAAACCCACCTGGACGCCACCCTGTGCCCCGTGCTCTAGGTGTCCCTGCTTGAGCAGGAAGGTTGGACTAGATGATCTCTAGAGGTCCCTTCCAACCTTAACTATTCTGTGATTCTGTGCTGCTTCGCGCCTGCTCGGGGACCTGGCGGCTCCAGGACCCCTGCCTGCTGGCGAGCCTGGGGCTGCATTTGGAGGCTGCAGCTGCAGAAGGAAATCGCAGAGCGTGGAAGTGGAGGGCGCTGCCTGGTCAGCAGCTGCGTGGGAACCCCACGGGACACAGCAAGCACCGGATGCCAAGAGCTTCATGAGCTTAGGCCGCCCGGCCCTAGAGATGCCACCAAGCTCCAGAGACAGAGGCACGGCAAGTGACTCGGGCAGGACTGGGCAGCTCCAGCAAGCGGGCAGAGCCCAAAGTGGCATCACAGCTCCAGGCGCGGCCGCTGTGCCACCCTCCCAGCTCCTGGCACACGCGTCCCTCCACCACACCAGCCCTATCGTCTCAGGTCATTTACACCTTTGAAAAGCCCAACGCCGGGGAGCCCGTGTGGCTCCCAAGAGGAGGATACCCGCAGTCCTTGGCCATAACACAAATCCCAGCACATCGCAACTCCCTTCCAGTCTTCCTTAAGAAGACTTGAGTCTGGAGGAGACTCTTCTCGGTTATTACGAAGATGAAAATGAAGGAGAAGCAACATCCAAGGACAGGACACAGGCTGGTGGGACTGCCGCTTGCCCAGCGCTCGGCCGGCCGCAGCCTTGCCAGGGTCTGGGCAGACAGCTCACGCCTACGCACCGAGCCCTGGCACGGTCGGGCCTGGAACCTCCAGCCCGATAACCCCGTTCTAGGCTTGAGCCTCAGCCCTAAGAAGCTCCATGACTTGAGCCGCACGGGTCAGAGGCAAAGCTGCAGTCTGGGCTCTCAGGGTGATTGTTCTTTACGGCAGAAAGTAACTTGAGCAATTGGCTCAAGTTTGGTTCAGAAGCAATATGCAAATTGCTTGGCTCAGAAGCAATATGCAAGGAGAACAAGAGTTGTGTCCTAAGCAGTAAATGACCCTCAGATTGGGTCCTTTTTCAGCGTGCTCCCGTGTTAGAAATGCATGTTCCTTGGCCCCTCTTGTTCACCAGTCTGCTGTCCCGCAGCCACCGTCTTTGGCCTTGCAGGAAACCCATGTCCGGAGCTGAAAGATTCCGCAGGTCCCGACCCAGCCACCCCAGCTGTCCCAGACAAGGCCACGAGCTCCAGCCTCAGGAGAGCCCTCGCCGGAGCCAAAGGCCCCCGACCTCTCCTTTCAGAAACTCCCTCACCCTGAGCTGCACATCAAGCTGTGTAAAAGCCAATAAAAGCCAGCGAATACAGAGAATGTTTTTGGTAACGCATTTTCACATGTTAAAGGAAAAGGCAGGAAATGAGGAGCAGCTGTTTGGGGCTGTCTGTATTCAGCAGATCCTCAAGGGATGAAGCAAATACTATTTGGAAACATCTCATGGTTTACAAAACTGCTTGAGTTGGAAAACGCTGGATTTAAAAACAATGGGGGAGACCATGCAAGCTTTCACTTTGCTGAACATGACATTATTCACTCCTTTGAATGTGATATTTTTCCTCCTTTCTTGCAAAGAAGGGCAGATTAGGGCTCAAGGGGCAGCGTCCAGCACAGGGAGCTCTGCCCCATGGCCGGAGGGAGGGACGTGGGACATGGATGACCTCGGGGCCTCCATGCAAAGGCAAAGGAGTGGGGCTGGACTCCAGCTGGGGCCTGAGCTCTGCTGCTAAGCGTGTGCGGCGCCAGAGAGGTGTCCCGATCCATGGGTGCCTGCCAGGCAAGCGATCCAGCAAGGATCACTGCGGCCACCGGCACAAGATGGGGAGCAGGAGATGCAGTTCTGGCCCTGAGCGGAGCTGCAGATCTGGCAGCCGCTCATGTGTGACACTGGGGAAAAAATGTGTTCGGGTCTAGTTCTCCCAGGGCCCCTCCACTGTCCCGAAGGAGGAACCAGACTCTGCAGCGCAATCCTGTGCAGCCTACGTGTGTTTACATCCCAAGTGGGCTGGTCCAAGTGAGTTTACGCAGGATTTAAAAATATTCGGCAGTTTTCTGCAGAGCTTTGCTGCTAAAACTCAGTCTTAGGTTTAGGTGAGATGTTAGGTCTCACCTAGGAAAGCAACTCCAAGATGCTCAAAAAAAGCCTGGGACTAGACGGAGCTTGAGGGTTTGCAGAAGTAGAGCTGCAGTGTCCTGGTCACTGTGGGCTCACCTGAAATCACGCAGAGAGAGGCTGAGGGCCGGGCGAGCCAGCTCGATCCCCTCCCATGGCTCCCGAATCTTAACCTGAAGCACCACCACAAACTTCAGCACAGGCCTCGTTTTCCCTGCCCGAGTCCACAGCTCAGCAACAAAACCCATTCTTTGCACCCGGAACCCGGGTCTCAAAATGAAGCTGACGCCGGAGCCGACTTGCCCGCGGGACACCGCTCCTCGCCACAGCGAGCGACGCCAGCCTGCAGCTACTCCTACTTCCTTGGCAAGTATTTCCATGCTAAAAACGGAGACCCGGCCCCTGCTTCCTTCCCATGGCTAGAGAATGAGGAGCCTTCCCTTGTCGCAAGGCACAGAAAGGGACTCGCTGACGGAGCGCAGGGAACCCAGGGCCGGCCGCACTCGGGGCACCGGGATGGGCGCCCGTGGCTGGCATTCCCCTTGGAGACTCCCTCCAGCTCTCCCAGCTTCTCCCAGCATGGAGCACTTGTCCCAGTGCAGCGGCCCGCAGGCTGCGGTGATTTCAGCGCTATTGTCTCCTTTCCTGTCTCCAGAGGCACAGCACGTGGATGAGGATACACATCCTGCTTGGCATTGGCAGGGGGTTTTCAGGCCACTGTGATCCACTGAGCACAATGGGCAGAAAACTTCCAAACGTGCCTTTTTCTAGTGATTGTTTTTGTGATTTTCTAGACAGGCAGGCTAGGTAGGGATTTTTTTTTTCTCCAGATTGAAAGCTGAAGTATTTTAAAGTAAATGTACTTCCAGGGAAGGGCTGCACCCAAAGGTTCGGTGCCCTGGGATGTGCAGGCAGGTGAAGCTTCATCATGGACATCTCTTGTATTTGAGCAGACAAAGGGGCCACAGTTCTGGCCACCAAATCTGGGGCTTGGGCCCCGCTGGGCGCTCGATCGTGGTGACTTGAAGTGATTCAAGGTACTGGTTTGCTGGAGCAGCTCTAGAAGGGGTCTGCAACCAAGATCTCACATTACTAGGCTCGAGCAGTCTGCAGAGAGCACAGAGAAAAGTCCCGTTACTCAGTGATAACAGAGAAAAACAAACAAACAAACAAAAATCAACAACAACAGAACGACGAACATCTACACATCTGCTTGTGAAGGGCAGAGCTGGCCAAGCCTGGCAGAGTGGCAGCTCGTCCGCAGTCTTGGGGTGAAGCCTCCCTTTAGAAAGCCTGGACTGGGGGCTTTCGACCAGCCTCGGCGCGTTCTCATTTTCACTTTCTTTCCCCTTCCTTTCCCTAGGTCAGGAGAGCGCAGACTGGCCAAACACGGATGAAGTCACACGCCGAGGGCCATGGCACGGGCACCAGGGATTTCCCAGGCCGGGCAGGAATTTCCAGCGGGTGTTTCTGTCTGGCGGACGGAGGCGATCGCGGCAGGTCCGCGCACAGCCCCAGCTCAGCCCTGGCCTGGTCGCCACGGGGGCTTTGAGAGGGGCTTCTGCTGCAGCAAAGTGTTCCACGACTTACACACGTGCCCTTTGCCACGTGGGGCTGCGGCAGAGGGAAAGCTGCTCGCTTTTTTACCACAGGAAAACGTGTTTGTGCCTTTTGCAGGCACCGTGCACCAGCAAGCAGCGAACGTGATCGCCAAAGCTCCCCGTGGTTTGACAGCAGCACCAGACGCAGGCAGGGCAGCCCCGGCCCGCGTCCCCGCCGCTTCATCCCGGTCCCGAGGAGGGGACGGGCAGCTCCGTCCCCCGCTCCCCTCACGGCGCCGCCCGCGCCTCCCTCAGCGCCGCGCCGCGCGGGATGGGGGGGGCGGGAGGCGGAGTGCGCCCGCGCATGCGCAGAGCGCGCAGCCGCCTGTTGTGTACGGCGGGGCGGGGCTGCGTTTTCAACGCTGTCAGGATGGCCGAGCGGTCYAAGGCGCTGCGTTCAGGTCGCAGTCTCCCCTGGAGGCGTGGGTTCGAATCCCACTTCTGACAAGAGCTTGTTGTTTTGAACTCGTCACCGTTTTTTCCCCCGCTCCGCAGCCGGTTTCGCCCCGTCGGGGTAAAAACCAGACACGGGAAGCAGGAAAAAACCAAAAGCAGGAGCTGTCAGAAGTGGGATTCGAACCCACGCCTCCAGGGGAGACTGCGACCTGAACGCAGCGCCTTAGACCGCTCGGCCATCCTGACGCGCTGGTACAGCCGCCGCCCGCGGCGCCCTTGGCGCGCGCGCCCCGAGGGGGCGGCCCCGGCCC